ACAGTTTGTGTTGAGGTCAGCCATGACATTTGGGGCTCAGTTCTGATGGGGAGTATAGGGCAGTATGAGGACTTTACTGAACTTTAACAAAGTAGGGTTGCACCAGGAGTGCTCTCCCTGCCACTCACCCTTCTCACCTGCCAAATATTAATCATGCTCTTTGGGATCATTCTGAAACCAGGAAGATCAGAATGATTCCCATGCTCCTGGAGTCTAGAGGCTGAACTTACTGCAGCACACATTTTCCTCTTATTCCAGGAAGCTGGATTCTGTTGCTTCCCAGATTGTGTGAGGTTGATGTATTCCAAGTGTCTTGAACAATTCTGTAGAAATACACTATGGGGGCCCCATTGTTAATATCAGCTGTGGGAGCACCACTGGATTTATGGTGCCAGAGGTGGAGAAGGGCTTCTTGGCAATAGCAATTCCCAGCTCTGCAATTAAAGACCTGAGCTTTGTCCTGAGTCTGATTGGCTTAGCATCTTCTACATCCTTAGTAATCATTTCCTGACATAAGAAGTGATCTGATGAGCCTTACAGACAGAATGCTGAGCAAAATGAGCCAGACACAATGAACTACATGCTGTGAAATTCCACTTATATGGCATTCAAGAATAAGCAAAGTGAATCTGGTGATAAAAATCAGAGCAATGGTTACCTCTGGGGGTAGGGATTGACAGAGAGGTGGGCATGAAGGTCTGGGTGGTGATTAGAGGGGTGTATACATTTGTCAAACTCATGGATCTGTACACTTAAAACTAATAATGCATCTTAGTGTATGTAAATTAAGCCTCAAGAAAAAAGAGAAATAAATTAGGCCAAGCACAATGGCTCATACCTATAATCCCAGCACTGTGGGAGGCCAAGATGAGTGCATGGCTTGAGCTCAGGAGTTCAAGATCAGCCTGGGCAACATGGTGAAACCCCACTTCTATAAAAAAAAATACAAAAACTAGCTGGGCGTGGTGGCACAAGCCTATAGTACCAGCTACTTGGGAGGATGGCTTGAGCCAGGAAGGTAGAGGTTGCAGTGAGCTGAGATTGCACCACACCACGGCACTCCAGCCTGGGCGACAGACGCAGACCCTATCTGAAAAATAAATAAATAAGTAAATAAATTAAAAAGAAAAATAGAAATTGAAATCAGTGATCTCTTCTTATACAGTCAGCTCATCTACCAAGAACAGTATTGTTTGGGTTACTGGCTTTGGAGCTAGCAGATCTGGGATAAGATCCAAGCTTTGGTACATACAGGCAGTATGACTTAAGCATACATTTTCACATCCATAAAATGGGGATTATAACAATAGTACCTATTGCACCAGGCTGTATGTCAGAAGGCTTAAATGAGACACTACATGCAAAGCGCTCAATCATTTAATGGTGTTTGATCAACCTTAGATTTTTTTGCTTCACTGACTAGACCCGTAGTAGCTCCCCATCTTAGTTTAAGAAAAATATCCATACTGGCTGGGTGCGGCGGCTCACGCCTGTAATCCCAGCACTTTGGGAGGCAGAGGTGGGCAGATCACCTGAGGTCAGGAGTTCAAGACTAGCCTGACTAACATGGTAAAACCTTGTCTCTGCTAAAAAATACAAAAATCAGCCAGGTGTAGTGATGGGTGCCTGTAATCCCAGCTACTCAGGAGGCTGAGGCAGGAGAATCACTTGAACCTGGGAGGCAGAGGTTGCAGTAAGCTGAGATAGCGCCATTGCACTCCAGCCTGGGTGGCAGAGAGACTCTGTCTCAAAAAAAAAAAAAAAAAAAAAAAAAAAATTCTGGCCAGGCGCAGTGGCTCACGCCTGTAATCCCAGCACTTTGGGAGGCCGAGGCAGGTGGATCATGAGGTCAGGAGTTCGACACCAGCCTGGACAACATGGTGAAACCCCGTCTCTACTAAAAATACAAAGAAAATTAGCTGGGCATTGTGGCAGGTGCCTGAAGTCTCAGCTACCCAGGAGGCCAAAGCAGGAGAATCCCTGGAACCCAGGAGGTGGAGGTTGTAGAGGTGAGATCGCGCCACTGCACTCCAGCCTGGGTGACAGAGGAAGACTCCATCTCAAAAAAAAAAAAAAAAAAATTACAAAGATTAGCTGGGCACAATGGTGTGGGCCTGTAGTCCCAGCTACTTGGGAGCCTGAAGCAGGAGAATCAAGTGAGCCTGGGAGACAGAGGTTGCAGTGAACTGAGACCCAGATTAAGACACAGAGCACTGCTAGCATTCCAGGGGGCTTCTTCCTTTTCCCTTCCTGTCTGTATCTCTAGGGTACCTGGCATGCTGACTTTTCTCCTCATGGGTGACTTGACTTGGTATTGAACTACTCCTGAGTTCTTCTCACTCTCCTTGATACGACTCACTTGACACATACAAGACTTGTTCTTGTGGTAGCAGCTCCTATTTGCTTGCTTGTGTTATACCTCCCTCATTTACTGTTTTCTTGCCTCCCTTGTTAGTGAGTATCTTCATAGCTGAATTTTAAGCTCCTTGAGAGCAGATGTTGCTCACAGGCAATAGCACATTTCTATGAACATAATAGAAACTCAAGAAAATACTAGTGTTAAATGCTTTGAGGGGTGGCAGAAGCAGTAAGCAGACAGTCAAATTAAGAAAACGACTTCTCTCTTCATCCTCCATGTCATTTATTCTACTGTTAACACTTCATATAATGTTGGGGGTGTGCATTGTTTTTTGATTGTGTAAGGTCATGTATACATTCGACTCTCAGGTTCCATTGTGGACAGAGTGGCAGGAGTTGATTCGAAGAATAAAAGTGCAGGAGGAGAAAAGGTTAAATGGTGAAGTCAAAGAGAACGAGCTTGCTCTGGCTCCTACTGTTGAAAGAACACTGGATCGGGTGTTAGAACCTCAGGTTCTAGTCCTCACTCTGCCACTAACTTGTGTGACCTTAGACAAGTCATTTAACGTTTCTGAACTTCAGTTTGTCTATGGTACAACAGAAGTAATACTTTCTGACACATTGCACTCCACAGTAGGTCAGCTGTGTTCATAGCTGGAAGGCACTTTGACCAAAATAATTTAAAGCATTGTCTCCACAGGTTCATATCTTCAAGTGAGGTAGGTACATTAGCTTTCTGCTTTAAGATTCAAACTGGACTGGGATTAAAAAGGTGGGAAGGCTGAGTTTGTAGAATCATAGAAGATTAATACCAGCAGGTAGTTTAGAGATCATTCCAGTCCAACCCTCTCATTTTGCTTCTGAGTACACTGAACCACAGAGAGATAATTTTCCCCAAGATTTCACTGAACCAAGCCTGGATTCTGGATTCTGTTTTCACTGTTGTGCTGCAAGGGTCTACTTAAAAAACAAAAGTTGATTTGTTCTTGTAACTGTTTGGAGACAAGAAAGCTCTGGCCTGTGTCCTAGCAAAGAAATGATTAGGACTTATGTCTGAAGCTTTTGCAGCTCTAAACTGACACACCATTTTAGCTCAATTATTGCCTGCCTTTATTTATGGGGACAACAATCTCCCAGCGCTTATTTACTAGGAGTTTGCCCCTCTGCGAGGTGCTATGGTGGGGTTTAGAAAAGGTTGAGATCCATTCCCAGCTCTCAAAGAGCTTGGTGTGGGAGATAAGAGTCACAGTGAGAGAACAATGGAAGGCAGTATGTGATTCAGAATTAAATGAGTAGTGCAGGCAATAAATGCTGTACAAGTTCAGAGGAGGGAGAGAGCCCCGGGAGCTGGGGAAGGGGGATTAGGGAGAGTGCAATTTTACGTGGGCTTTTAAGGATGGTAGGATTGTTTATGCAGATGTAGGGGAGGGCATTGAATTTGAGCTTGTGTGTGCATGCACGTGCTTGCGTGAGTGTACACATGCAAATGCAAGGATGGGCAACAATAGGGAGCACTTAGTGAACACTTTCTATGCACCAGACACTACATTATAGTCCCCAACATTCAGCTCATTTGACTGTTCATAACCTCATAGATTTGGTATTACTTTTTCAATTAATAGATGTGACAAATGAGGCACAGGGAGGTTGAGTAAATTGTCCAAGGTGACACAGCAAGTAAATAATATAAATGGGATTAGATTAGAATTTATATCCTAAAAACACTTTGTTATTCTACTTGTAAATCCAGAATAAAATTGTAAGCCCCCTAACAGACTGAACAGACACACCCCCCAACATATACTCCCTACCTTGACCAAGGGGATCTGGAAAGAACACTTGAAAAACTAGTTCAGGCCAGAATAGTGGCTCACACCTGTAATCCCAGTAGTTTGGGAGGCTGAGGCAGGCAGCTCAGTTAAGGTCAGGAGTTCAAGACCAACCTGGCTAACATGGTGAAACCCAGTCTCTACTAAAAATACAAAAATTAGCAGGGCATAGTGGCACATGCCAGTAGTCCCAGCTACTTGGGAGTCTGAGACAGGAGAATCACTTGAACCTGGGAGGCAGAGGTTGCAGTGAGCCGAGATCTAGATCTTGCTACTCTGGAGTTTAGGCACAATTGATCAGCATTAACATTAAAACAGAGATCATAAGATTAACAAAAAGACTCTGTGTGTGTCAATAAGATACCGAATTCTAACCTGACCCAGGTATAGCACCACATGACAGATAGTAGGCCCTGAAGGAAATCAAAGTATTTTACACCAAAACGTATTTCTTTGACATATTTTGAAATGGCCTTGCAAAGCTATCTCTTGCAGAGAAAATCTACCTTCAGTAGAGAATCTCCTTCCCTTTCTAGGCCTTTTCATGATCCAGGAGAGATTTAAGTAAGAGAGGGGCACCTTTTACAAGCATTGTTTCTGCTGACTTCAGCTCTTTAGACAAAGCATAATTTTTTCAACCAATTGCTAGTCAGAAAATCTTTGAATCCACTTATGACTGTGAGCTCCCCCCAACCACAGGAGATGTCCCGCCTTTCCAGGCCAAGACCAGAGTATAACTTGCGTGCATTGATTTATGTCTTTGCCTGTAACTCCTGTTGCTCTAAAATGTATAAAACCAAGTTGTAACCTGACCTCCTCGGGCACATGATCTCAGGACCTTCTGAGGTTGTGTCACGTGTCATGGTCTTCACATTTGGTGCAGAATAAATCTCTTCAAATATTTACAGAGTTTGGCTTTTTCTTCAACATGCCTGTGAAAAAGGAATTTATGGCTCAGATTAGAAAACTGGCCTGGCTACAGCCATCATTAACCATAGTCATGGTTGCAAACTAGGGACAGTCTGGGCCAAATTCCCAACAGAAGCTCAGGTGGAAATTGGAGGGATTACTGAGGCCATTGGCTGAGTGCTATCCCTTCATTCTTGCTTCACTGAAGATAGTAACTTAAGGTCTTGGGATGCTGTCTGCCATTTCTAGGTGCTCCACGGCTTTGTCTTTAATGTTCCCTGGTTACGTTGCTAAGGATTTAACACCTAAGGAGAATGAACTAGTGAGCCTCTGAATCAAGCCTTGTTTGTTGTTCTTTATTAACTGGCACTTGTATTACCGGAATGGGGTCTGGATTCAGACCCCAAGAGAGGGTTCCTGGACTTGAGCAAGAATTTGGGGCAAGAAAGAATTCCGAGTAAAATCAAAGCAAGTTTATTAAGAAAGTAACGGAATGAAGAATGGCTATTCCATAGGCAGAGCAGCAGCTTGGGCTGCTAGACTGACAGTACTTATGGTTATTTCTTGATTATATGCTAAACAAGGGGTGGATTATTCATGAGTTTTCTGGGACCCGGGTGGACAATTCTCAGAACTGAGGGTTCTTCCCCCTTTTAGACCATATAGAGTAACTTCCAGCTGTTGAGAGTGACTTTTACCATGCTAATGCATTATAATTTGCATATGATGAGCAGTGAGGATGACCAGAAGTAACTTGCATCAGCATTTTGGTTTTAGTGGGGTTTGGCAGGCATCTTTAATGCATCCTATTTTATCAGCAAGGTCTTCCTGGTGTATAATCTTATGCTCACCGCCTAGCTTATCCTGTGAGTTGGAATGCCTAACTTTTTGGGAATGCATCTCAGTAGGTCTCAGCCTCGTTTTACCTAGCCCCTATTTAAGATGGAGTCGCTCTGGTTCTAATGCCTCTGACACTTGGAGAACATCAGGGCTATGGCAGATGTTGTACAAAGCTTGGAGTCACACAACGCTACCTAGCTGTACTTGTTTGAAAAACCAGACTTGGAGAAAACGGGAGGGCAGTGGCCTGATAATACAGTAGATTGCATTTTATGTTTCAGGTCCAAAAGTGTTTCCTAGGCAAGGTGCCTAACTGTTTTCTGAATTTTCTTCTAACTCATCGTGAGTCTTCAATAAATATTAAATCAACATGAGGTATGTCCCGAGAAGGTCCTTTTCCTATTCCGTCTCAAGAAAAGCATAACAGCCAATGGGTAAAAAGGAGCAGGTATGAAGAGGGGATCTTATTTTAGTCAGTTGCCCTTATCCAGGTTTTGGGCTTAGAGCTGTTCCTCCACACTCAAGAGTCCTGGCTGGCCTAGTAGGTTAGAAAGCAACTGCTCCTGGGAGAGGGGAAGGGGGAAGAGGGGGCGGGAGAGAGGTCAAGGGAAGCCTCTCTTCCTCCCACTGGCCTACCATTAAAGGCTTGTTAGGAGAAAGGGAAGAAGTGGGAGAGGGAGAGGGTGTGGCAGGGGTGATCTGTGTGGAGAGAGGCAGAGAGAAAATACTGGATTAGAGCAGGAGAGGGAGGAGTAGGGAAAAGAAGCCACCGTCCTAGGCTCTGAAGTGGGGAGTGGGGGTGTGGCTAGAAAGGGGAGAGAAGAGGCCTTTCTGGTCTTGCCTGAGTCTAGCGTTTCGTGGCAGAAAGGAGGAATCGCGAAGAGGAGCCGGCTATACCCAGCACACACCCTAAAGCCAAGCTGCTCATTATTAGAAAGGCTTATTCGCTGCACAAGAAGTTGGTGCGGGCCGGCTAAGTGCCTACTATGTGTCCAGTATAGAAACAAGTGCCCTGGAGAACTAGGTCGCGGGACGCAGTGCCAGTCAACAGGGCTTCACCGAGGGGGCGAATTCCGTACCCGGTTGTGAAGGAGGGTGGCTGTGCACGCTTGCAGGCTCCGAGTACAGAGGACGAGGCAGGCCAGGGAGGAGGAGGAAGGAGGCGGAGACTGAGCCGGAGGAGGGGGGAGGAGGAGGGAGAGCCGAAGCCTTGGAGGGTGGGAGGTGTGAATGGTGGACCAGTCAGGGGAGTGCCGGAGGCAGAAAAGGGAAGCAGGCGGGGAGAAGTAGTCCTGGCCTGAGGGCGTGTGGCGGGGTCCAGAGCTGAACTGGACTGGGGGAGGGAGGCGGTGGCGTTGGCCTCGGCGACCGGGAGGAGAGAGGGAGGGGAAGAAGGAGGAAGCGAGCGCGGCTGCTGCAGGGGGAGGAAGACTGGGAGGAGGAGCAGTGCGCCGCGGCGGCGGCCGCCAGGGGAGCCGAGTGCTCGGCGCGGGGAGCGCGGGAGCGGAGCAGTCGCCTAAGCCAGGGCCGCGGGCCGAGCTGCCGGTGAGTGGAGCCCCGAGGGGCGCGGCTGCCGGTCCCCGGGGCCGGGCTGGAGGCGCGGGAGGCTGCGGCGCTGGGGCGGAGGGAGGGGGCCGGCTTTAGTCCAGCCCCCGGCTGGCCCGGCCTCTCGCCCTCCCTCCGGTTTCCTCCCGCCGCTGCCTGCGCGAGGGGGGCAGGTCCCGGGCGGGCCGCGGGCTAGGGGTGGTGCTGCCTGGAGGGCGGGCGTCTGAGGCCCGAGGGTGGAGCTGGGGCTCGGGGGTGTACCCGGGGGCGGGAGGCTGGACCGGGACGGCTCTAAATTGACTGGAGGGGCCAGTCGGCGACGAAGTTGCTAGCTGGGGGCAGAGACGGCCACGCGGTTGCAGGAGTAAGAGATCCCTCTGTGGCGAGTGCGTGAGACGAGGAGCCCGGCGTCCCAGCCATCCCCGTCGCCCTCCCCGCCTGCCCGGCCGCGCTAGCTCCTCTCCTGGCCTCCGCGTGTCCGCGAGCTCTTACCCCTTTTGCCTCCCGGTTCGCTGCCGCAGCAATGCCGGTCCCCTTGGCCCCCGCTCTGACCCTCTCGGCCTCCGGCTTCCCTGACCCCTGCTTGCTTCGCTACTGCCACATTCCCCTTTTCTTCCCTTGCTAGTTACCCCTCCCACTTCCTAATTCCCGGTGCAATTGCCTCTTTGAGACCTTTTTTTTTTCCTCTCCTTCCTTTTAGATTGGCCAACGGCTCCTTTCAACCCTGCCTCGTTGGTGGCCACTGGAGAAGCGCGGGGGGCTCCCCCAGACAGCCGTGGGGACAAGTTAGAGCCAGCACCTTACCCCAGGCCTCGCGTATAGCTTCCCCTCCCCTGCTCTCGGTGCCCTGGTGTCTGGAGGGGGGTTGTGGGGGTGTGCCCGCCTTACATGGTCCACCACTCGGGCAACCCTCTGGGCTCGTGTTCCATCTCACTCTTGCTTCCTGCACTGTGGTCAAGGAGATCCACTTTGCATCATGTCCCGGTATAGCTACCAGAGTCTCCTGGACTGGCTCTATGGGGGCGTGGACCCCAGTTTTGCAGGCAATGGGGGCCCCGACTGTGCTGCCTTCCTCTCTTGGCAGCAGCGGCTGCTGGAAAGTGTGGTGGTCCTGACCCTGGCCCTGTTGGAGATCCTGGTGGCCCTGCGGCACATCCTGAGGCAGACGAAGGAGGACGGTAGGGGTAGCCCTGGCAGCCAGCCAGAGCAGGTGACCCAGCGGCCAGAGGAAGGCAAGGAGAGCCTGAGCAAGAATCTGCTCTTAGTAGCCCTGTGCCTGACCTTCGGGGTGGAGGTGGGCTTTAAGTTCGCCACCAAGACCGTCATCTACCTGCTCAACCCCTGTCACCTGGTCACCATGATGCATGTGAGTCTGTTGACTTTTTCCTAGGCAGCCTAAGTGATAAGAGTCATTTGTGTGCTCAGGACACTCCATAGTGTACAGCACCTCACCTGGAGGGGAGTGGGACCCATAAAATGATTTTCCAACGAGTGGCTGCCCTTGCGCCAATTTCAGTTTTGGCTTTCTTTCACCTTTGCACAATGAGTCAGCCCCACAGTGGAGATGAGGAACCTTGTGCCTGAACCTTAGGAACGACTGGCACTCATGCTGGCTGCCTCTCCCCTCCCAGCCCTACCCTGCCCTGGCCATTCAGAAGCAGGAAGTCCAGGCCCAGCCAGGTGCCCTTTCTGATTCACATCAGTGGACCATGGCCCAACTCCCTTGCCTTCTGTGGTAGTTAATTTCCCAGGGGCCTGGTGACACTCTTTCCTGGAGGTGGTCACATCAACTTTCTCATCTACACTGTGGTACTTTGGGGAAATAATTTTATGAGTTTCTCTTAATGACTCTTTCATTTGGGAGTTTATGCTTTTAGAGTGAGGTCTACCTTTGCATTTTGAGGTGTTGGAGCAGCACCAAGCTCCTACTAAGTGAGTTCTGAAGGAGGTCCCCAGGCTGACTTATGAACTTTGGGCTGGTAATCACTATGTTGAGAGGGTATTTCTTTTTTTTTTTTTATTTTTCATTCCTCTCCATCTTATCACTGTCATTCTGTCTCCTGTGGTGATAGTCCAAGGGTGCCTAGGAAGCTGATTTCTTTACCTCCTCGACTTCTACTGGTTAGTGGTACTAAGGAAAACAAATGAGATTGAAAAGGCAGGTTGCTAGATACATAAAATAATCTGGGTGAGGACCAAGCGTGAGACTCTGTACTCAGCCCGTGTGGAGAGGTTCTAAAGCTAGAAAACCATGGAAGAGGAGGAAGAGGAGAATGGAAGCACAGTCAGTCTTTTTTAGATTTCAGGCTATGGAAAACACAGTGAGTTTTACTCAGGGCAGTTTTGAAGCCTGTCTTTAGCACCTTTATTGCCTTTATGTTTGTAGAAGGTTATTGTTCAGAGACTAGTGACAACCTGGCTTGGGGCAGGAGGTTGACATTATTATCTCCATTTTACAGGCCTGGAAGTCTTCAGGAATGAAAAGTCATTTGCTTGCAGCCAAAAGGTGAATTAGTGCCTGGGTTGGAACGCACACCCATCCACCTTGAAGTTGCAAGCTGTCAACCCCAAAGTGAGGGTGGCAGTGGGTGGTGGGGCAGTCCTGTGGAGGTCTTAGGCAGATGAGCACCACGCTGCCTATTCATGGCTTGGATACTTGCTTGCACTGTGTTCCTAGGAAGTCATTTGATTGCAGGCTCCTGGCCTCAGTTTCCCAATCTGTAAAATGTAGTAAATTACCGCGGCCCCTTCCCTTCTTTCAGACATGGTAAGGAGATCTGGATAACTTTCGAATAAAGCGCCTATTTTTGATTAGGTGGCTGTAAGCATCGGGGCTGGAGTGGGTAGCATTTTTTAAGAGAGGGCTTCTTGGGAAGTAATGCCATTCACAGGAAGTCCAGGGCTGTCCCAGCTAGATCATCTGTGTAAATTTGAGCAGTCCTCTTTCTTTCTTTCTTCTCTTTCTTTTCTTTCTTTCTTTCTTTCTTTCTTTCTTTCTTCTTTCTTCCTTTCTTTTTTATGAACGGGCTTTTTGTTAATGAGAGGAAACAATGCCTCTCAGCCAATGCTGTGTGAGGCTGTCGGGACAGGAGTGCTTTTCTAGGATGGCAGGTGGTGAGGGTCAAAGGTGTTGCTTCTACAAAGTGGTCTTGAGGCCTCTGGCAGCCACATACCTAGAAGGTCAACAAAGGACTAAATTCAGCCTGACGGGTTGCTGCTGGTGTAATGACATCAAGCCTGGCAGGACCATGGTTTTTAGAAGAAAGATTTTTAGAGGCTCTTAGAAGATTCTGGAGAACTAGTGCTGGCATTAACTCATTGTGTGACTTTGGAGAAAGTACTCTTCCTGGGCCTCAGTTTGCGTACCTGTAATATGAAGCAGAGATGCCCTCCTGGCTCTTGACCATCTATGTGATTCTTTTCTCTCTACGTCATAGATGGGGATGCAACAGAGAGCTATTCTGAAATGCTTTTGACCTCCTTGTGTGGAAAAAAAGAAAGCTAGTTTCTTCTCTGTGGAAGTCAGGTGACCAGTCCTCATTCATTGTTTTCTCCGTGTGTCTCCCCAGTACAGTAAACTCAACTGGGCCATGCTTGGGAACACATGCAGAGGATGATGGCAGACTGTGAAGCATTAGGATGGGGGCTTAGAACAGAGCCATGCAGAGGAGTTCTTGAGCCCCATCAGAATAATGCTTCTTTGCCCTTTTCCCCTAAGTCCCTGCTTTATATCAGTTAAATAGTAACCCCTGGTGTACCAGGAGACCTAGCCTCTGATTAATCCAACGTTCTATCCATATGGCTTTTCTTGGGAAGCAGGAATGTATGGATTTTTAAAAGTTGATGAGTCCTAAAAAGAAAAACAAAATTAACAGCAGATGGTTGGAAATAGTTTTCTGACTTGGTTGCAGAATGACCAGTGATAGTATGTATACCCAGAACACCATAACACCTTTTATTTATCTAGCACTTATTGTTTATAAGGCACTTTCGTATACAATGTCATATTTTGCTTAGGCCTGGAGAAAGAGATAATGTTTCCTGCAACAATGTATATTCCAAAGAGGAGATACTATGTAAAAAGAAATGCTGCGGCAAGTGAACTAGCTGAATTAGGCTATGTTATAGTGGCAAATTCTGTGGAATTTAGAAGTCCTAACAAAGAGGGATATTAGCTGAAGTGAAAGGGATAGCTTAGCAGAGACATGTCTGATGTGTCTCTCAAAAGGATGACTCAGTTTTGGCTTTATAGAAAGGGCTTCTTCCTCAGAGAGTCAGTGTAACTTTGTAACAAGGGAGGTATTGCTTTAGGCCAGGAAGTAGATAAGTTGGAGGGAAATTGGTTAGACTCCCATCTCTCATTTTTCAGTCTGCAAAATACTCATTCCCAAGACCTTGTTACACAGGCTCTCCTCATAGCCATGCTGCCTTTGGGTGACTGCCAACTTTAGTAGCATAAGGAGGAGCAGTACTTGTGTCTAGGTTCTGTTATTGATAATATTCATCCTGTCAGGTTTCTTTTTGGCCTTGTCGGATTTTTTAAATTTGTCCTGGGACTGGACACTGATATAGGCATGTATGGTTGACGTAGTGCCATCTCACAGCTAAACCTCCAGCCAGAGATGTTTGAGTGTTCTCAAGAGCAGCAAGCACCAAGATTAGCATATGGTTGCTAAACCCCTTGCTAAATATCAGTGGTGTCTATCAATTATGCCAATAAATATTTCTTCAAGCATGGCTAGTCCCATTTTGCTTACAATTTTGGCAGATATGTGTGACAGGGAGTGAATTTATGGAGTGATTATTCTGTTTACCAAAAATCACCCAGTAAGTGGCACAGGTGGCTTTAGAACTGAGCTGCCACAGTGGGAATCTGGGCTTAGCAGGAAGAGATTCTCATAGTTATTTAAGTCTTTAAGATCTACAGTTTCTCAGCAGAAGGGTTAAACTGCTAGATAGTGTGACTGTTGTAAAGACTGGTGGTCTTAATTTAGTGGCCCTTTATCCTCCTTGAGTCCAGTTATGTTGCCTTTGTGTTAGAAACTTAAGAAAAATATCCCATTTGGGATGTCTTATTTAATTGTCCAATTCTTAGGCACAGAACTTAGTGGGGTGCAGCATATGCCATTTAACCCTTGATGTCCGTGTACATAAGGCAGGCTGTATTTAGGCTGGGCATTTGGCAAATAATAATTGGTGCTGTTGTCCCCTTAGTCCCAAGCTGTTGGTTTTTAGTGAGTAACAGTAAATCCCATCCTTTTTTAAGTTGCTGTAGCTATTTGATTTTTTTATCTTCTTTACAATATATTAGAAGTCTAACTTCAACCAAATATGGCTTACCTGCTTTCGGTTCACTGTGTGATTTTTCTTACCTCCTCCCTCCTTGCTAAAAGTGTAGAATGACACACACTCAAAAAGTCCTGAGCTTTTGGTGAAACCCTTTGCAATGCACTGAATATACACTGTTGCATTCCAGTTGTTATGTGATGGATATGTTTTAGAGAAAACCTGATGGATTTGAGAAACTTGGCTTTCTGTTGTCCCCCTTGACTTCAGACCAGACGCACCTCCTCATTCTCCATCTGTTGTCTGGAGCACTGATTACTGTTCCTGCTTGGGATTGACGTTGGTGGGTAATGGGTACAATAAAGGATCCAGCCATCTGCTGACAGCTTATCAGATGAACTGAGTCCTGTGTCATCAGTCCAGGGGGACACAAGGCAATGATGTTTATATGGGCCTCACCAGTGAAGCATGACATTCCTTTTTAGTTTGTTTTATTTCTCCCCCCAAGGAAATTTGCAGAGAATTTTTCCATCTTTCATTGTTACAGTCTTCGGGGGCATCCATATAAAGAGAGGTGCTGCGGATCAGTGAATTAAACAACCCACAGATAGCCCCGGATTTAAAATTATGATGCTAATTTTGCTCATGGCTTGCTACAGGAACCTCAGCAAATTATTTAACCTTTTCCTGTCTCAGTCTTCTCCATGAAATGGGCCACGTGGAAATGAAGCATTTGAATTCTCTGAATAACGATGTGCTCACTTAAACTGAGAAGCTGGGCAAAATGGGTCAAAAATGGCAGATGACCAGTAGAGTTTTAACTTCAGACTCAGAAACTGACACAGCTCAAGTCCTTTTACCTTTCTTGATAGCTTCTAGAAGACATTCCTCTAATCATTTTTGTTACTTTCTCTGGATCCTTGCCTGTGTCTGGATACCCTTCTGATGCATGGTGTATAAAACTGGACACTAACTCTTACCAGAGGTCCAGCCCACATGAATCAGAGAAGAAAGATTTTTTTCCCAGTCTTTTCATGCCTTGTACCTGTTAACACAACTCAGCTTGCTTTTAATAACAGTATGTTGCTGGCTCTTATTCAGTGGATAATCCACAAGCTCTCAGGATTTTTATCCCTTTGCCATAGATGTGCCACCTTCTTCTCAGTCTTTGTGAGACTTGTTTTAGTTTCCTCCTCTCTGTAAATACTCCCCTGAAGATTCTTCTCCATGAAACCTTTCCAGATAAGCCTGACCTGGCTTCAGTTATTCCAATAACACATTTTGTCTTCCTTTCCCAGCCGTATGAATACTTGTCAGAATATTGGGCTCTTTAATGAACTCTTTAATGAATACCTTTGTGTGCGTGTTTGGCCAGATCACTTTTTTTTGTATGTTTCTTTAATCTACACCATTAGTGGGAACACTTTTTTAAACTAAAGGAATAGAGGGTTTTTCCTTTGTAACTCCTTCCAGAGCTGAATATAATACTGTCCATACACATTAATGTGTACCTGGATAATGGTGACTGGCTGATTGATGGAACTGACTTTTTGCTTTCCTTTTTTCTTTCTCCACTATGTTCTCATTAAGAGAATCTTCCTGCCTGTTTTTTGAAATAGCCACAGGTATGAGGCAATCTCAGGTCCTGCTCACGCATCTTTTTGTAGAATTTCCATCACAAAAGATCTGGTTATTAGAATCTCTGTCCAATCTTGGCCTGAAGTGTCTGCTTTTCTCCCAATCAGGAAATTACGCTGTTGGATGTTGATCTTAATCTCTTGGACATGCCAACTTTCTTGCTTCTTAATATCATATCAATAAAAAATGTTATTAAGCCAGAGACTCACTTTTACTTTTTCTCCTCTCTTGTATTTTTCAGTGGACAGCTCATTGTTATCATGCCTTATTGAAATGAAGAGCCAGGTTGCTCTGCTTCTCCCAGTCTTTCACATATTTTGTTATATTGAGAATATCTTGTTTCAGGTGCTCTGTTCCTGCCAGTAACTAGCTGAGTGGACATGAAGAGACTATGGATGTTTAGAGCAATGATTGCCAAACTTTATTTGTAGAAGAGTCTATTGGAAGCTTGTTATAATGCAGATACCTTGTTCTCTACACAGTGATTCTGAGCAGGTCTAGGGTAAGGATGGAAATCTGCATTTATACTAGCACTTGGGTGATTCTAATGCTGGTCATCCTTGGACCCCACTTTTAGAGACATTATCTAGTGGCTAAAGTAATTAGGTGGGAAGTTGGTTCAAGTGCCCATCCTAACTGAGCATGAGTTTGGGTGATCTGTGGGCAAGACTTTAAGTCTGTTGGCACCACCTCAGTACCTGTTAAATAGTATGATTCAGATTAGAAGATGAGGGTCCTAAGTTATTGTGAAGGGGGTTTTAAGGAAGCTATACAGTTCCAATGGCTTGTTTGGTGACTATTAGTTATGTCAATGGAGTATTTCAGCCAGGCCACCTTTATTACCTTCCAGAGGTATATTCCATATCCTTTCAGTCCTTTTATATTCCCCCTTTCCAGTCCTCTAAGATCTGCAGGGAGTAACAAGTGGGAATGTTGACACATGGTTGTTGCAGGCTGACTCTGTTTGCAAGACTCTTGTTTCAAATGTTCGTGGGAGTTTATTCTTTCTTGCATTCACTCAACAGATATTTATCAAATGCCTATTGTGTGCCAAACATTGATGCCAGGCATTGGACAAAGAGAAATAAGAAACAGTCATTGCTGACGTACCTTCAAAAGCAAAGCCAAAAAAAAAAAAAGTAACCTTTGCCCTCATTTTGCTCCACAGTTTTGATGAGATGGACAAGGAAATAGATCATGTATAGTAACAGATTTGAACAAAGCATAGAGGACAGGGGTCTTTTTTTCCTAATGAAATTAAGGAAAACTTCTGAGAAGAGGTGACATTTGAGCTGGCTCACATTAGCTCCATGAGAGCAAGGACCCTTGGTTTTGTTCTCTTAGTGCCTGGAACAGGGACTGGCTCCAGTAGGTGCTCAATAAATGTGTTTGAATGAGCAAGGAGTTCAATTGGGTGATGGAGGAAAGAAAGCATTTCTAGGCATAAGAAACAATAAGTGCAAAGGCTATATGCTATCTCCCCATTTCTCCCCCCACTTACCCAGTGTTCAAGTGGACAGGAAAAAACTATGGATCTGGAGAGCAGTGATTGTCAAACTTTATTTTTGAAATAATCCCTTGGAAGCTTGTTATAATGTAGATGTCTATCTCTCTACACAGCAGTTCTCAGCAGGTCTAGGATGTGGATGGGAATCTGCATTTATAACAAATTCCAGATGATTCTAATGCCTGTGAGCCTTAGATCTTACTTTTAGAGATCCAGCATAAGTTCGCAAAGTTGCTTCCCCCTTCACAGAAAAGTGTCTCTACTGTAACCTGGAATTATTTGCTTATTATCATCAGGGGTAGATGTCTTACTTCTCTCTTGGCCAACTAAGTGAAACTCTAGGAATGCTCTGTCATTTCTGAGCTGTTAAGTGAACTGCAGATACGCTGGAATCCTTGATAGGGGATGACATAGAAAACTGTGTTCTCTGTGCTGTCCCAAGGAGGGCCCACACTGTTAAGGACAGAGGCACAGAACATTGGGGTAAGGGAGCAGACATTAAATGTGAGAAATGGGAAGATAGCAGATACCCCACCTGCAACTAGTAGATGATTTTTAGTGGGTCGTGAATGGTTACTGCTCTAAAGTCCAGCAGCACTGATGAAATGTGGTGCTTGCTTGCTTTCCTTCCTTCCTTCCTACCTTCCTACCTTCCTCTCTTCCTTCCTTCCTTCCTTTCCTTCCTCCCTTCCTTCTTTTCTTTTCTTTCTTTTTTTTTGAGACAGACTCTCACTCATTCATCAGGCTAGAGTGCAGTGGCACGATCCCGGCTCACTGCAACTCCCATTTCCAGTTTCAAGCAATTCTCCTGCCTCAGCCTCCAGAGTAGCTGGGACTACAGGCACGTACCACCATGCGCGGCTAAATTTTTGTGCTTTTAGTAGAGACGGGGTTTCACCAGGATGGTCTTGATCACTTGACCTCATTATCTGCCCGCCTCGGCCTCCCAAAGTGCTGGGATTACAGGCGTGAGGCACCGTGCCCGGTCTATGGTGCCATCTTTCTACCTTTCTTTTTTGTATCTCTTCTTCCATTTTTAGGTCTTACCACCTGACCCATCCAAGCTTGCCTTCTTCTAGAGTACTCCAAGCTCCAAAACAATCCTTTCTCTAATTCAAAATGCCCATCCCATCAGAGGAGATGATAGCCATTAGAAAGGGGATTAGAAAGAAAGCAGTTTCATTTCAGAGTTTCATACTGAAGTATGAGTGGACAGACTCCACTGGGCATAAGGGAGAGGATGAGTTTTAAAAAGCGGCCTTGTTACCCTAATGTAATATCTAATTGGTAGACTGTGTCTAGTGTTTTTAAGCAGGTGTCCTTTCCCATGTTCATTCCTCAGGTTTTGGCTTCTTCTTTCCCCCTATGTCCCTGATCAAGAGAACTGGAATTGTCAGTGCCTTGCTACCCTACTTGCTGACTCTTAGGGTTTCATATTAATGTAAATCTCCCTCCACAGTGCTTCAACACAGTAGTTAATCTGAAGGCCTGGGGAGGAACCGAACCCTCTTCTGGGCACCAGTCAGTCCTCTGTGTTTACTTGTTTCTTTCCTGGCTACATAGGGCAGCGCTGCACATCTGTCAGTTCATGGGCATCAAGGAGCTTGGATTTGTTGCCAGCATAAGATCCTAAAAGAGAGGGTTTGGGGAATCTCTTGATTGCTTTTGATTCCTGTCTAGTAGCTGCTGGAGGAAATGGCACAGGGAAGAAGGATAATGTGAGTTTTGTTCTGAGCCGGGTGATGTTGAGGAAAGGGAATGGATTGCAAGGAGCCAGGAGGTCAGAGAGGATTGGTCTGTGTGGCAGAACAGTGAAAGCTCTGCCCTGGGCCATATGTTTAGGCGGGTAGGAGACGAAGGAGTGAGGTCATCTGGAGAGGAAAGGAAGCATGGTACCATCCTAATTCTAGCCCAGTGCCTTCAGTCTCCCTATCTTCATCACATGCCAGTAGTGGTATACATTCAGGGTATATTTTGCCTGTGAATTGAATTGTCTTTGCCAATCGACCAGCTGTGTTTGCAGAAAGACTCTGACTGACTGTGCTCTGGCTGTTGCTAGCAAAGAGACATTTCATTCAGGTTCTGATTAAATAAGGTACAGAGCCAGATTGCACATTAAAGCCCTTAACTATGGCTCTGGGAGTCCTGGGTAAACACTTATTAGATGTTCTGGGCAGAGCACAAAAGGCTGATAGGTGTTCTCTTCAGAAATCAGGTTGAAGGAAATTGAGGGTTAAGAGAGACTTCTATAAAGAGTTTCGATCTTCTTTTCTTACATTAATCAGATTTGAGTGGGTGGTATGTACACATCAGGGCTAGATAAGTTTCCTCATTGGAATTTACTTGCCAAATTCTAGCTGGGACATTGTAGATTTGGATTGGGACACAGCAGGGTTCCTGACTTAAGTAGGACAGTAGAAATGCTTCATTTTCCTAATGCAAGTTCAGGTTTGTGGATAGATTCTATGGACCATATTTCCGGGTGTGGGTTTGAGCTCTATCACCACGTGACCTTAGGCATGTTACTTAGCTGCATCTGTAAATGGGAATAATAATAGGGTTGTTTGTGATGGTTAAATGAATAATTTAAATCAAGTATTTAGAAGAATTTCTGCCTTATTGTGTGCACTACAGAAATGTTAGCAGTTATTTATAGAGTAATAGTATTACTTAACATTTTGAAATCACAGTGATGTACTGGGATAGATTACAGGCTCTAGGGTGGTAAAAGCCTGGATTCAAATTCTTCCACTAGCTCTGTAACCCTGGGCAAATACTTAACCTCTCTGAGCCTGTGTTCCCATATTCATAAAATGGTATGATCAAACTTGAATATACCAGAGTTGTGAGGATTAAGTGAGAGAAATGAGAAAATACCAATAAAGCATTTAAGATCGTATCTGGCACATAGGAAGCATTCAATACATTTAAGTGATGATTATGATGATGATGATGATGATGGTGACCAACATGATGAGGCTGATGATGACAGTCACCATCATTCTTACTATGGCTGCTGCTTCGAGCTTGGGTTCTATTGTTGCAGTAAGATGGTAGGGATTTGATACAGGAAAGTTTTTCCATGAAAATCTTCCCTTGCATCGTCATTTCATGCAGTGGGCAAAGGTATTGGTTTCATGAAGTTAGCACCCATGTAATAATTTCTGTGGGACAGGGTTGCTTCACAGTTTGAGGCCTAAGGACACATTTGTGGGTAATGTGAAGGTATTTTAAATTATCCAGTCCTTTCTGGGTGACTGGGTGATTCTGTTTAAAATAGGCAATTCTTCTTACATCTCACTGTTAGGAAACTTACCTTTCCAGGGACCTATTGGCTTAATTATTATTGCTGTTTATTAATGGGCTGGCTCCATAGTGCAAAGTTTCTTGAGATTGGTAGTCTAGGAAACCAGTGAGTTTGTGACAGAAGTATGAAAGAAGTGGGTTTGGGGCAATGGGGTAGACATAGATTGGTGAATGGGTTTTTGTTTGTTTTTTTACTTTTCATTTATTTCTTTTGATTAAGGGGAGTAAAACTTTTTCCAGTGCCACCTATTACCAGTTTGGTAACTGTTGGAGGAGAAAGGGCAGACCCCAGAGCTCCTGGGCAAAAGGCAGGTTTCAGGTGGAGCAGCATCTTAGCTGAAGGAGAAGCATGAAGTGGAGCCTGTGTTGCTTTCAAGAGAAGACCTCACTGTGCCTTGGGTTTTCACATCAGCAGATGGACAGAAGAAACCAGTTCTTCCTATATCTCTGGGATACGGTAATCCTCTCTCCTTAAGACCAGCTCTACTCATTTTCAAGACTTTGTGCTTGGGCCTCATTTTCAAGACTGTGCTCTGGGACCTCAGCCACCAGTCAGTAGAGAAGACCCCCTTTAAGTGCAGCCTTCTGGGGCCTAGAACTTGGTCATGTGATTTCAAGCCTGGGGATAAAGGGGGAGGTGCTGTATCCTGCCAGGGCCTTTGGAAGGCCTCTGGGCATATTCCCAAGCATTGTGGGTACAAAGGCTGTTTCTTATTCGTGGAGTGGGAGAATTGAGGAGGCTAAGGTTATGTTTTCTATAATCTGGTTCCCTGGAAGAAGAGCTGGTTTAGAGGGCATTTCTAAACAAACAGCAACTCAAATAAACAGCAGCCCTTGGAAATTAGCTATGAAAGTTCCCCCATTCTAAAACCTAGTTAAGATTAGAACAAAGGTCCTCTTCGTATCAGCACTTGTTCATTGTTGGTTTGCATTTGTTAAGGGTTTCCTTTTTTAAGTTCCAGGTACTTGAGTGTGTGTGTGTGTGTGTGTGTGTGTGTGTGCGTGCATGCCCCAGTCACTTTATTCCCTGCGCCCTGCAGGAATGCTGCTCAGGGTCATGTGCACAAGTGCCTGATTATCAGCAGCACTTTCATACTTGGTCCCTTGGGTAGCCGCCACTGCTGACTGCTGCTTCACGTGTGGGTATTTCTCCCTATTTCCTGGACCCCCAGCCCCACAGAGAACATTGGCACCCTGAGGAAAGGGGCCGCCTCTACATTTGGATCTCCCTTTTGCTGCTTGGCAGCTGATTTTACTCTGCTTTCAAGTTCACCTTTCCTCAGAACAGCCCTGCAAGCTAGCACCAAGCCAAGGTCATGTTCCCTTGCTTGCATGTGGGGTTTCTGGCTATTCAGCCAAGAGAAATCATTGACCCTCAGCCCTGTGGGGAATTTCAAGGGAGTATTGTCTTGGTCATCGGAGTCAGGGGTGGCCTTTAGGCAAAGGCTGCATTAGCTTTGTGGAGAAGAATGTGAAGCCCGCCGTGTCACAGGGTCTCCTGACGGGCTGGGTAGTGTTTGGCCATATCTCACAGCCAGTGCTGTGTTTGCTCAGATGGACGCACATGGAAACCAGGCTAGGATCATCTTCCCAAATGTCTTACTCCCTGCTTTGGGTCTGTCCTGAAAAACAATTGCAAAGTACATTGTGGTCTGCATCTGTTGTTTTTTCATCCCCCTTTTCCACAGTCAGTTTGCAGTGAATGGATTAATCTTGGCTGTTGGCACTTGTATTTTCTGTTTCCTTTCTTTCATTGGGTTGGGTTCTCACTTTTCAGTAATAACTGTCCATGGACATTAAGGACAGCTGGTGCCCCTGCTCATTTAGGGTCTCCCTTAGGCCTTTTAAACAGTGGAAATGTGTAACAGGGTCAGATGGGCAAAAAGTAGAATTTAGGAGAAAGCTCACTATAATTTCTGTAACATTTTTGAGTACACGTTATTATGCTTTAAGCATGGTGTTAACTCTACTACCTATATATTACCTCATTTTCAGCTTTCCAGAATGTTTTTTGTTTATGTAATTTTTTTAATGAGACAGGGTCTTGCTGTCACTCAGGCTGGAGTGCAGTGTTGTGAATATGGCTCACTGCAGACTCTACCCCTTGGGCTCAAGCGATCCTCTTGCCTCAGCCTCCCAATTAGCTGAAACCACAGGCACACGCATTACCATGGTGAGCTAATGTTTTTATTTTTGTAGAGATGGAGTCTTGCCATGTTGCCCAGGCTGGTCTTGAACTCTTGGGCTCAAGCGATTCTCCAGCATCGGCCTCCCAAAGTACTGGGATTATAGGAGTGAGCCACCACACCTGGCCTGTTTTATCTAATTCTTCTTTTCTTTGCTTCTAGCTGATTTCCCTTTTGGTGGACTATAGGCACAAGATATTCTAACAGTACTTTCTCAGGTTGTTAAAATGGCAGAGTGATACCAAGTCAGAGCTGAAAGAAACCTCTGAGATCAACTAATTTGTCTCTCCTTCATCCCTTGTTTTCCCAGATGAGCAAACTGAGACCCAGAGAGGTCAAGTGATTTGCCCAAAGTCACACAGCTAAATAGAAGCAGAGCTGGTTCTCTGGACTCCCAGTTCAATATCTCTCTATAATACCAAACATGGCCTCCTTTATCCCTAACCTTCCAGCGTAAAAGGAACTAGACTTTTGTTCTTGCCCAGTATTAGAGAAATGTAAATCTTGTTTTTGAGTGTCATTGTTCATTGCCTTCTTGAAAGTGAGGATCTCCTGGCTGCAGGCCACCTCTTTACCTGGCTTGTAATTTTTTCAATTTACTTCCCTGCCCTTGCTTCCTGTCTTCCACAGTAAAGCCTGGCCCTGGTGTCACCATTACTTGCTGCTTGCCCTGGGCAGGCAGTCCACAGAGATATGTGTGCCCAATGAGCCTGCATGTAGGGCCAGTATGGGTTTCTTCCAGATATTGGTTGTTTGGAAATGGGACCCACTCAGCTGTGGATATAACTGAGGCCATCATTTCCTGCCTCCAAATAAAGGCCTCAGTCTGATCCTAGTAAACAGTTGTATGAGGCTCCAGGGCAAAAGAGCAAATTTAGAACCTTAATCTAGCAGAGGTAACAAAAGCCAAAGAAGAAAAATGTCAGAATAATGTCAGCCTAGTAGAAGTCAATTCATCTTGGTAAATGATGTCGAGTAATAGAGTGCTGGATTAAGTGTTAGCCAGACCTGGGTCCTGGTGGTAGGTTCGTAACTAATTTAATGACAAAACTGAGTAATTTTGGCCATTCAGGTAGCATCTCTGTGCCTCAGTCTTCTGATATAATAAGAAATAGAGTGTGGTAGTTAAAAGTACATGCTCTGGAGCCAGACTAGTCAAGTTCAAATCCCAGTTCTGCTGCTTTCTAGCTGTGCAACTCTGGGAACGTTAACTGACATATCTAGGCCTGGTTTGTTTGTTTTTTGAGGTCTTCCAAGTTCATTATTTTTCTTGTTTGTTGCTAGACCAGTGTACCTAAAGCCTCTGGGCCTGTTTTTTTAATCTGCAAAATGGGGATTAATAGTAGTATTTACTTTATGGGGTTCTTGTAAGAATTAAATGCATGACTACATGTGAAGTATAAAATAGTGGTGCCTAGCAAGTATTCAGTAAATGAGTATGGCTGTTACTATCTGTAAGACAGATGATCTTTGCCCTTCTTACCTTATAGGGTAAACATGAAAATCAAGTGAATAAGATATATGAATGTGCTGTGAATATAAAAAAAAGTGTTATCAAAATGAGAACAAACATCATGTCTTGAGAGCAGGAACATTTAAAGGTTTCTTAGCCCGCTGTTTCTAGGATCAGATATTGATGGTTATTTCCTTGGTCATTTGGCAAAAGGGAGAAAGGTAAGTTTATATGTAGGGTTATATAGATGCTGGGGCCATCAAGCAATGTAGATCCTGCTTTTTCTTTCCCAGTGTACTCAAGAGGGCTTGAAAGCCATGCATCCTAAGTAAAGTGGTTAGGGGATTTGGAATGAAAAGGAAGGACTGCTATGATATTCTTCCTTCAGTGCTGCTCTTAGTTAACGGCATCACAATCCATCCAGTGACTCAGGTTAAATCCCTAGACACCTTGATACATCTCAATTCCCCCTTCTTCCTTCTTTTCATTATCATAGTCTCAGTCATCTTGGTTCTGTCTTTAATGATCTCTTCCATCTGTCTCTTCTTTTATTCTTTGATTCCCCTGCCCTGGTTCATGTTGTTGTTTATCATTATCATCATCACCTGGCTTGTTAGAGCAGCCTTGTGATTGATCTTCTCTCCTCTACCCTTTACACTCTATCCTTTACACTATTCTGTCATTTATTGCTAGAATGATACAAGTAAAATACATGTTGGATCATGCCATTCCCTTCCTCCAAAACCTCCATTAACTCCTTATTGCCTTCATCAGGGTTGGTAAACCTATAGATGCATACACTTTATATTGTCCCTGGCCGACTGTGCTAATTAATCGTAGGCACACTTTCCCAGGGAGTCTCCATGTACTCCATGTAGGTTTAAAATCTTTTTAGCATAGCATTCTAGGTAGCCACTTATCAGTCAGTTGGAGTTAGTATTAATATATAGACTAGGAATGGCACATAGATAAACCATGTAGAGAAAGCCTAATCTCCTTATGATAGGATTCAGGATCTTCTATGATTTTGGTCCCAATCTTTCTTTTCAGCCATGTCATTTAGTTTATTCTTCCATGTGTTCTCTGATTCAGCCACCAGTATGATGCCCTTCCATTCTTCTCTGAGTTGATACTTTGTTTATGCTGCACTGTTAGACAGAAATATTCTTCCTTTTCTCTTCCTGTTGAAATGCTAGTTATCATTCAAGGCTCAGCCCAAACACTCCCTCTTATGAAGCTGTCTTCAGGCCTCTAAGCCAGATTTAGTCTCTCTTTTCTATTTTAGCGTGTTATTCTGCCTTGTATTATGTAACTGTTTGTGCAACTTCCCTACTCCTTAGATTGTATGTTCCCTGAATGTAAGGTCTATGTTTTTATTAATTGTTGTATCCCTCACAGCTTCTGGTACATTCTAGACTCTTAGTTAAAAAAAAATTAAGTCTAGTCTAATCCCTTTGTTTTACAGATGAGGAAACTGTGGCTTAGAGGAAAAGGTCATTAGTTCATTTTGAGATCTGTTGAGTTTCAGATGTTTCACATGTTGAGGATGGATTGTGCAGCAGGCTATTGAGATGTGATGAAGGCTAAAAAAGTTGATTTAGGAGATGTTGGCTTAGAGAAGGAAGATAAAGGAGAAGAAGAGGAGAGCATCATGCAAGCAAGGGAAGAGAAAGAAGAAAAGTATCCTGGGGAATGTCTACTTTGGGAACAGAAAGAAGACTAAGTGATGGAGCAGCCATCCAGGAAATGGAATGAGATCCAGGAGAGGAAGGAGTTTCAGAAGGCAAGAGCTGCTCCTCTATGTCATGTGATGCCGAGGGGGAGGTCAGGAGGATCTGAGAGAAGGTAATTAGAATTGGTGATTACAAGCTGGCCCCTGTGGCCAGTCACCCCACCCACTTTAAAATATTTACCCTACAAATGTTAAAGTGTGAAGAGTTGCATGCCAGGATATTTATGGCATCAGCGTTGGCAGATACAGAACATTGGGAAACAACCCATCAGGAGCAGAATGGTAAATCTGGCCACTGAATAGTATAGTTTTTTTTAAAGGCTAATGTCTGAATTCACTTTCAAAGTTGTTCACAATATATTGTTAAAATACAAAAATGTTGCAGAAGCATATGTATAAGAAGAACCCATTATTCTTAAAAAAAAAAAAAAAGCCCAAACAGCCCCTTTATATGTGCATGTTTATGAGAACATTGTAAAAGTCTGGAAGAATGTATACTAAATAGCACTTACTCCTGAGTGATTAAGGAAAGATGGGCACTCTCACTTTTTAATAACCACATTTCTGTATTATTTGAATTTGGTATAAGTATAGATTTCTTTAGTCATTAAGAGAAATATTTATTTAAATAAAGAAAGGATGATTGGCAGCCTGTGAGAATAGTTTTACTAAAAAAGATTCAATGGACAAAGGAAGCCAACTCACGGGAGAACACTTGGCAACTGAGAAAACATCATGTGTTTTGGAGGCTGTGCCACAGGTGCCTTGCTGTCTGTGTGGCTGGTGGGGGTGAGGCAGGGGGCATGGAGAGATTACTGCTGGAATGAGGCAGTTACCCCATTGCCAGGAAGTTCAGCAGAAAGGGAGGGGATAAGTAGAAGAGTAGCTAAGTGGCAAAGAGGCAGGCAGAGGCTGATTAAGAAGGAATTAAAAAGCAAATCTATGCGTGTGTGTGTGTGTGTGTGTGTGTGTGTGTGTGTGAGAGAGAGAGAGAGAGAGACCGAGATTCAGTGCTGATCTGCAGAGGGAGAAGGAAGGGGACACTCATTGCTATGAGGAAATATTGTGAAACGGAGCAGGGTAGTAGAGAAGGGACAAATGAAATATCAATTTTAGTAGTAGGGAAGCTTCCAGAAAAGCGTGAGATCTTAGGCCAATTAAGCCTCTGATACATGGAATGGCTGGGGAATAGGCCAACATACCTAATCGCCTTCTCTGACTAATGGTAGGTTAAGAAAGCTCCTTTTGTTTATGTTTTGGTTACAAAAAATGTTTTGGGCAGTAGCAGACTTATTGTACTGGCTCAGAGAATAGTATGGTGAGTGACTGAAATGGAATCCTTGTGAGCTCTTGAAGGCCTTTAAGTCATCTGGACCTGCTACTAAGTTGGGGACTAGAAGTGGATATGGAGAACAGTAGAGGCCAGAGTCTTCAACCTTGGCTGCATCTCTCAGTGACCTGGGGCAGCAGAAAATAAAAGACAAACCAATGCCTGCTCCCACACTCTGTTCTTAGAAAATTGATCACAGTTGGGGCCTGGACATAGGCATTTTAAAAAAAAACAAAAATGACACTCTTCAGGTGATTCTAATCTGTAGCCAGGATTAGGAATCAATAGTGAAGACTGAATTAAATGTGTTCTGAGCCTAAACTGACCACTAGAAATGTGTGTGTGTATGTTGAGCAATATCTCAATATAGTTATTTCCTCCTCTATATTCCCAAAGTCTTGGGAGTGGACTGCTTGTAAAGTGTTGGTTCTATTGCATGCTACTTAGTTGTTTACTGTCGAGAGAGATCTAAGATGTAAGATTCTCAATAATAGTGACTGCCTTTATTGGGCCTTTTTCTGGCATGGGTTTTCACACTCACCCTGAATCATACAGCTTATAGGATGGGTGCCAGCACTAGGACCCAGATCTGCCCCTTTTGAGCAGAGTTCCTGGCATGTAGGTATTCAATCATTATCACATGATGTGACAAGGAGCTTTGTTTCTTTGTGCAGTGCTTCTTTTTATTAAAAACCCAGCGGTGGTAAAAATCTGACATATTTGAAAAGTCAGGTGTGAGAGAAGTTTGAGGAGAACTGCCTGGCATTTGAAAAGCTTATGATATATTAGGTATTGTGTGGTGAATCTAGATCACGTAACATGTATTAAGCAATGACTCCAGGCCTAGTTGTACCAGAGAGATACAAAAGTATTAGATGTGGTTTCTTCCCCAGGAGAACTTATTATCAAGCCTCATTAATAGTCTGACTACTGTATTTTTTTTTTTTTTTTTGAGACGGAGTTTCGCTGTTGTTACCCAGACTGGAGTGCAATGGCACGATCTCGGCTCACCACAACCTCCGCTTCTTGGGTTCAAGCAATTCTCCTGCCTCAGCCTCCGAGTAGCTGGGACTACAGGCGCGCACCACCATGCCCAGCTAATTTTTGTATTTTTAGTAGAGACGAGGTTTCACCTTGTTGACCAGGATGATCTCGATCTCTTGACCTTGTGATCCACCCACCTTGGCCTCCCAAAGTGCTGGGATTATAGATGTGAGCCACCGCGCCCGGCCTGACTACTGTATTTTTAATTGGCAAGTATGTACAGAATTTACCAGAAAATGCTAGAGGCCAGAGAGGCTTTCAAGTTCCTGTAAGTTCAAGCCTATCGTTTTGCAGATAGAGAAAGAAGCCCAGAGCAGACAACTGCTTGCTGAAGGTCGCACCACTTGGGAATGGCAGAGCCAGGGCTGGTGTATGTCACCTTGCTCTTTGAGGTCCTATTATACTCTTTTCTGTCTCCCTTCAAGGACCAGAGAACCTAATGGCCCATGTTAAAACTTTAACAATAATTCCATTTTGTGCTTTATGCTTCCAGGCCTCCTTAGGGTTTGGGGGAGGGGAGGTTAAATGTTAGTCTTTCTTAAAATCTTGTGTGGGAACGGCCAGCACTGGTTACCTCTGGCTCAAGCCCAAGAGTCCTAAAGATGGCTAATTTCCCCTTTACTGAAGCAACCATTGATTCTAGTCTAATTAGGGTGCTTTTCTACTCCTCCTAAGGGTCTTTCCCAAGCTCATTGTGTTTATGGCTTTTCTACCTCAGTTCCTCATTATTGTCCTTTTTGTGAAACTCACGTTAGAGACAAGAGGTGCCTGTCCTTATGGTTGGACCTGAGAATTAGAGCAGTGGGGCCAGTTCCTAGTGATACTAGCAGCAGCCTGGTTCTTTTGGCCCTGTCCCTTTCTACTTCCGAAACCAGAAATGTAGATCCAAGTTTGGGGCATTCTCAGAAGATTCAGGTATAATTTAAGGTAGAGGTATTCTTCTTCCCAGACCCCTCTACCCATACGGTTAGGATTAGGGTATAATTATAGTCACCACAAACATCTGTTGAACACTTACCAAGTGCCAGGCACTGTGGGATAGATGCCATTATTGGCATTCCCATTTTATAGATAAGAAAAATAAGGGTCAGAGAGGTTGACGTAACATACCCAAGGTCACATAGCTAGGAAGTGACCAAGCTGGTATGGATATGTAGTAACAACACTCAAAAGCCAGTGTTGTTACTGTTAAGCTAATAGAGCCTAACATGAAAAGAAGTTACCAATTATATTTTTGTATGGATGAAGAACCATTTGCCAATTTTCTGCAAGCCAATTTAGGGAACTGGCCAAAAGATAAGCATCCTACCTATAGCTGTGTTCTACTGTGGGGTGGACTGTATCAAGAAGCTTGCTAGTCACCTGCATGTGTCAAGTAAGTCACTTCCCTTCTTTGAGATTCCGTTTCCGCCCCTGGAAATGAGAGGGTCAGACCAGATGGTATCTAAGACCTGACCTCTTCCAGCTTCATTTCTTACTTCCTGGTAGAATGGAAAAATTGTAGAATAGGTTGAAGCATAAAATGCATCAGAAATACAAATGTGGAGAGAGTACATAGTTCATCCTGGACGGGTCAGTTAGCCAGTTACATGTTGGTTCTGTTTTCCCTTGTGAAATTATAACAAAATGATGGGGTTTTGTTGTTTTGTTTTGTTGTTTTTCATTTTTGTTTTTCAGTGAGCTCCTTGCTAACATCAGAAAGTACTACCTTTCCTTTATTGTTGTTTGGTTCTTTTGTTTGTTTGAGACAGGATCTTCCTCTATCACCCAGGCTAGAGTGCAGTGGTATAATCACAGCTCAACTGTAACCTCGAACTCTTGGACTCAAGAGTTACTTCTACCTCAGCCTCCTGAGTAACTGCACCTGACTAATTTTTTAATTTTTTTATAGACAGAGTCTCATTTTGTTGCCCAGGCTGACCTTGAACTTCTGGCCTCAAGCGATCCTCCTGCCAAATTCCTGGGACTGCTGGTGTGAGCCACCGTGCCCGGCCTCCAGCTTTCTTAAAGTAGCTATTATTTAATTTCAGGCCTTGTAGTCTCTAAAACTGTAAACATCAAATAAAGCCTGAAGGGTAACAGGGCACTTAAATATGAGATGCCATATTTTATTGCTTTGTGTGAGAATTAGTAAAATTTGTGTTCTGTTTTATAAGAGGGTCTTGGGAGATGATGGTTTCTAGGAGAGAAGCAATTAAAACAACAGATTGTACATGTAACCTTTATCTCCTTGCAGGGTTTAAGAGCAGGCAGATATATAACTAGGTCTAGGGTATGGTATCATTCACTTATCTGTGTATTGTGAAAAGAGCTTGTATTCAGGAACACTAGGTTAATCTACAAAATCTAATACTGCAATTAGAATGGTAGCCTTGATCTTAAAATTTTTATGTTATTGTTGGGTGTGTGTGTGTGTGGGCGCGCGCGCGCACACGCGTGCATGTGCGCGTGTATGTCTGTTTGCATATGTGTTGTTGAACCCAGCAGCCCTTATTTTGGATGGTTTGTGTATCAGCTTGCATCAGGCAAGGCCCTGAGAGCTTGTCCCCAAAGCCAGGCTCTTTCCTCCTCTCCTGCGGGCTCCCGTATGCCTCCAGGTTCTTCTTTTAAGGCAGAGTAGACTAGGCACTGCTATTAGAAGGAACAGAATTATTTACCTTGGGACAGGAAGGAGAATCCCTAACAGGTGGGCTCGGATGGCAGTACTGCTTGGCACATAGTCAGTGCTACACAAATGTT